TGAGGATTTTGTTACTTGAGGCATTTGAATTTGGATATAACACAAGAGAAGGAGAGAAAAGCATGCATATCTAATTGCAGTCAGGGTTTTTCCACTCAAATTCAGACGTTTGGGGGTGGCGGGGGGTGGTGACTACAGACGTCAGCACAATTGGCCACACATTTAGTTAAGTCGCTGAGTCTGTGATAACAAAAGCAGCTGAGCATATATCTGTCAATTCTGGCTCTTTAACCCTCAGGTGACTGCCTAAAGTCATAGACGGCCCCAGCTGTAAATCAATTAGTGCCGTTTATTTGTAAAAATATTTAACATCACATTTGTTGACCTACTTCTTCTACTTTTTTTGAAATGAGACACTAATACTGTAGGTTGTATGGCGTAACATTATCAGGTTTTATTTTATTGTAACATCCCACTTCTAATCAATTTGTGATGTTTTGCAGTGACCTGTGGCTAACAGGTGTTGAGTAGATACTTGAGGTTTGTATTTAATGCTTGAGGTGACAATGAAAACACAGATACTTTGGATTAAAAATTACTGAAACTTATAATTCATCAGAACATTTTATAAGATAACCTTAAGATAAGATAACCTTTATTAGTCCCACACGTGGGAAATTTGTTATATTTGTTTATATTATGTCTTATAAATAAAAATAGTATTGATATGATGTACACAAGCAGAGCCATTTCCTGTGTAAAATATTATAGCTAGGTAGTCTTAAATAACCCACTTCGTCATATTGGGAGCTTAATCAATAGAGGGTTTATAAATAAAATGTATTATAGTTTAGAATAGCCATTTATTGTCATTGTACATGTACAATGGCACTATGGAAAATTATATTTGAAATTAAATGCTTGACTACATGGTTATAAGTAGTTAAAATGTATATTGATTGCAATTCTGGTATGTGTCTATCTATCCTCCTCACTAACAAACATGTTTTCCCACGTCAGTAGTGAAATGTTCAGATCTGCCGTTGTCATGACCACCGCTCATACCTGATGAGTCATCACTGACGTGCTGCCAGGGACTGACTGCCGGTCGGTCGGCCTGTTGAATCACATTCTCCCTTTCACTCACACAAACACACACACAGAAAGAGTCATACTTCTTCCTCTCTGCCGCCCTGTTCTAGCTGGTCCCTGAAATAAGAGCACAGCCGTTGTACTTCACTCTCTTCACTCGTCCTATCATTAACAGACTAAATCTTTATGAGCTGGAAGAAGAGCACCCACGCACTGCTAGTAAGTTGGACTTCTAATTAATGTGGCACAAATATCCATGGTACCCAGAAAATGAGTCCAGTGAGACAGCTGATCCCCTCACTTTTGATTTAGCGCCACAGTGAAGCTAAAATTTATGGTTTTGAGTATATACTGTTTGACTTGGCTGCAAAACTGTAACTACTGCGAGTTTAATCTCACTTGGTAGCAAGTGTTAGGAACTTAGATTTGAACACTATAAACATCAGATGGGCTCATCAGCTACCATTACTCACACCATATATGTGCTCCTAAGGCTACATCCACACTAATACGTTTTCATTTGAAAACACATCGTTTTCTCCCATCCACACTGAGACGGCGCTTTTGCTGAAGGAAAACGAAGCGTTTTGAAAACGCTCTCAAAAACATTTGAAAACGGTGCTTTCGCGTCGCGTTGTGGACAGCGAAAACGGAGACTTTCTAAAACGATGACGCATTTTAGTCATGTGATGCAGTCAAGTGACCAATGAAACTAAGATAGCGGAGGGCAATAAACAGCAGTTGTTTTGTTTGCTCTCAATTTTGACAGCCCTATTAAAGATTAATATCAGTTTGTACATGCTCCAGTTAGATTTTCTTCAAATTCTTTAATTCTCACTCGCTTTTCCAACTTTGTACTTTTGTGTTACTCGCAACAACAACTCCACCTCATTGTTAGTCCATTTAAAAAACTCGGTGCAAAGAGCTGGAAAGTAAATAAACTGCAGACAGAAATGAGGCAGACCGAATCGTCTTGCGTTTCACGCATGCCCAGTACTGGAACGTAAGCGTTTTCGTCCGTTTCAATGTGGACGCACAACTCTGTGGAAACGACTGAAAATGATAGTGTGGACGCAGAGCGTTTTCAGACGAAAACGTATTTTCAAATGTATCCAGTCTAGTGTGGATGTAGCCTAACAGAATAAAATGTGGCACATTTCAACAGAGCCCACTCTCATCCCTGGGGCGTCAATGCTAAAGTATAGTTGTCGTCAAGCTCCCTGTGTGATGTCATGCACACACTGCTTGAGAGCTGCTAGCATATTTGGATGATGTGAACACCAGTACATAACCCAATACTAGTAACCGACTGGTTGCTAGCACCAAAAACCTCCATGTGATTGCTTTGGTCACAAGCAAATTGCAGTAGTTGCTTGTTTGTCTGTAGGATGCTGACTTGGGCCTCAGCGCTGCAACCAACACAAAAGGTGAACTTTTTACCTTGAAGATGAGCAATCTCTGTTTTCAGTTTGTGTTTCACGGTTTCACTCTCACTCAGAGATTAGCTAGCAAGTGTTTACAGACGAGATGGTACTTTCCGTAGAAACTACAGCTGACTACGACAATCTGTTAGTGCCAATCACTGCAATCACAAGGAGGTTTTTGGCAACTGGTCAGGGAATACATGTTTTTCCTGGTGACCAGAGGGTCTCTGACTCCCTCTATGCCTGTGTGACTAGGGCTTTAGTAATCAATTTCCCTGCAACTGCCAGCAACCTTCAGCAATCACTCACATGGTGAGTGATTACATGACTGCAAAACCTCAATATTGCCTAAAGCTAACCAAGTTGTTGTTGGTGCCTTGTAAAAATGAAACTGCTATCTGTGACTGGCTGACACAGCCTCGAGCCCTAATGCTAAAGGATAACGATATGTAACGGGGGCAAACAGGAAGCATACATTGCATTGTGATGAGAACAGGTTGATTCATGTTATCCCAAAAATAGATCCCGCTGATATTGGTGATCCCAGTTTTTCCCTTTAGCACCACAGTGAGACTAAAATTTCTGCTTTGGAAGGAATTGGTTCAATGAATAATTTGGATCATTTACTAATGCCCTAACTAGGATGCTTTGAGAATTAGTTTTCATGCTCAGTACTTTATGGCTGTATAGCTGCAAAACTGTAAACACTTTGTGTTTACTACAACATTTATGTTGAATATAGTGAATATCAAACCTATTAATCAGGTGCCGCTGCTCTCAAATCCCTCGAACTAATAAGCAAATAAAAGAACAATAATGCTAAATGTCTTTTTAATGTGCATCAAATAACTGAACACTGCTTGAAACTAGTGTAATTTGTTTAAACAGTTTTGCTGGTATTCACGATCTCTACAGTTTTTTTTAAATGTCTGGTCATTTTATAAAATAACTACTGAAAAGCCAAAAAGTGAAATGAGGACCGAGGTGGGACTTGCTTTCAGAAGGACTTTGCTCAGCTTTATGTTTACAACTGAGGTCATTATTGGAGGAAATATAGAGTGATATAATATGATGCAGATGATCAGAAGCCCAGTGGATTTTTCAAATGAGCGCAGTATTACCACAGAAAGATCTGTTATCTAAAATATGGGTGCAAAGGTCGTGAGATCTTGATGTGCCAAGTGGTGACCGGCGACCATGAAAGTGAATGCAGCTGGGTGGTGTGTTTGCCTGCCAAAGACGCAGCTAAAGCCACTTTCCTGGGAGAACAGGCCAGGTGCCTACGTGTCTAAATCACCTTGAATGCTGAATTCACCCCTGGATCT